CATATCCAGCTTTTATTGGGCGACAGATATTTGCAGATATACTGTTCCATCTTCAGCCACCTGCGTCAATATCAAGCCACTCCACCCTATTTTTACAAAAATTTTCAGAATTTTAAAGTTTTCCCCTTTTAGATGTGCTAGCCTAAGCCTCAAGTAGATTGAAACCTGGGCAAAATTCTTACGTTGTTTCGTGACGTGCGTGTAAAACATATTTGCTCAAGCGTTCATGGCGGCTACTAACAAGTTTGGAAATATCTCTAATGATCATGGCCGTCTTGTCTGCAAACACGAACACGATTAGTTCATTTGTGCGTAAGAAAAATAATACTTCATTAAAAAAAAAAAAACGTCTATGTTTTTCCTAATTCTCCGGGGAATGTGGGAGGTTGGAGTGTGTCTAAGTGTGTGCAACGTTTCCTGTCCTGTCTCTGTCTATCTTCTATCGTTTAGTTTGTTGTTGTTTTGTTTTTCCAAATTTAAATGCCCGTTCCTTGATCTGTCGTCATCATTTTCTTCTCCAACACAAACATGGGGTTCTCGTGGCCTAAAGGTTAAGGTGTTCGCCTCTCATTCAAAGGTATTCGGTTCGAATCCGGGTAGCGACGGAAAATTTTTCTCCTCTAAAATTGTCTCCTTTCACTTCTTTCCTGCTCTCTAGCAATGCTCTGTTTGTCTGCTTTCGTCTCCACTTTCTGCCTCACTCCCTCACCTCCTTTGCCCCCTCCTCTGGGCTTCTGACTCTTTCTGCAGCCTGTCTACTGCTACTCCTTGGCTTCTTCTTACTTCTGTCTTTCAGCCACAACCCTTATCTTCTGGTAGGACAGATCTACACTTTGCTTTCTCGGACAAGGGCGAAAAATCTCGGAGGTCCCGTGTGCAAGTTGCGCACGTCAAAGATCTCTTTTTTTGGGGTCTAACATCGATAAGAGTAAGCTTCGGCCGCCACTGGGGCAAGATTCAAAATTTAATACCAACTAAAAACGTTTAATGTGTTCCGAGCGCTCATATGACCTTATGCTGTTGCGAGCGCCTTAAAACATTTACTTTAAAAAATTAATAAAACAAAAACAACACAAACATACGTCTGGGATCTGATAGTGTATTTCCTCGAAAGTGTTGCTGTGTTTGACTTTTTCCTACATTTTCTGACCCAGAATGTGCCGGTTGTAGCGGATCAGCGTTATTGCTTGTATTATATAGTCAGTCCCGACGGTAGGTCAAAATATGAGCTCTATATGCTCTTTACAACAATTGATTGTTTTAATAAAAGCGCAAGGGGGCTATCCCATATTTCGAGCTTTTTCAGAAATCTTGACCTACACCAAAAGTGGGCATTTCCCTACCTATGGGAGATGTTTGGTTTTATTGGTGTGAATATTTGTTTGGTTACAGAGAAACATTCTGGGCTTCTAGGGAAGCATACAGTGCTAGCAGCTGATTAGGAGCTGCTCACAAACACTAACAAACTGACAAGGCCCTTCGTTGTTATTTCGACGTGGGCGAGGTGAGGAAATTTTCGTGTGAAAAAATGTCTTTCTCAAGGATTCAACGGAGAAAGCAGCATGTGACTGGATCCGAACTCACGACCTCACGGTTTTAAGTCCGAGAGCCTGGCCACTAGACCACCAACGTATAACACTTTAGGAAAAAACAAAATTATTACATCATGATTTAGAACTGAACTCATTCTTTCCTATCAAACCTCTACCGTCTTTATCTCTCCTTCTTTTTTAAAAATGTTTTTTACTCTCTTGTAGAGGGTGCTGTGGCGGAGCGGTTACTTCCCACGTCTCCGAAGCGGAAAATCCGGGTTCAAGCCTCGATTAGGACACGGATTTTTTTTGCCCCTTCCTGCCCACCCAACAGTAATGAGTACCTGATTTTGAGTTTGCGGCGTGGAAAGGAACTGGCCACCCTATCACAAAAATGCCAAAGGTCCCTGAAGTTGTCCCCCTAACAAGGAAATCTCCAATGTCCGGATCGGACACGGGAACATCTTTAACTTTTTACTCTCTTGTAACACCTCTAATCGTTGGAACGTATATGACCTTATTGTATTGCAAGTGCCGTAAAACTTTAACTAAAAGAAAAAGAAGAAGCTGAAATCTCCTGTCAGCTACAAAGTGTGAGGAAAACCTTTTGATACTTTTTTTAAATGGTGAAATTGTATGGGTTTAACGCTTCTATTAACACTATTAGGTTATTGAGGAAAGCTGAGGTGACGGAATCTCTCAAATGCCACGCCCCCAAATGACCTATCCTTCACCAAAGGGTATCAATTGAGACAAAGTACTCTTCAATTCTCGCGAACTCTTTAATTGATTGGTGCTCGTGATAGTATCTCAGAGCCTACGCAAAGTAGTATACTCTGAGGTACAGCAAATTGGTAGGTTTATATGATGGGAGGCGAGGGGGGATCTACACATTTTTGGAAATAAATGATACAGTTCATCCTTTCCGGTTTGAGTAGAGAGAGGGAGTGGGGGAAGGGGATGGATACACACAGAGAGAGAGAGAGAGAGAGAGAGAGAGAGAGAGAGAAGAGAAAGAGAGAGGGAGAGCGAGAGAGGGAGAGAGGTAGAAAGAGAAAGAGAAAGTGTGTGTGCGTGTGTGTGTGTGTG